ACACACACACACACACACACACACACACACACACACACACACACTCCAACCTTTGGATAATGTTATCAATGTTATCAACCAAAGTGTGTGTGAGACAGTTGCTATAAAAAGAAAGTCTAATTATAAAGACAGGATTCAGTGCTTCGTTCAATTATAGAACAGTGATATAACAAAGCACTTTAATAGAACAGGTTGCAGTAAAGACATTAAAAGACCATGTCTGACATTTAGTTTGCATATTTTAAAAAAAAATCTTTGTTTGCAGTGACTCTTGACGACGAAACGCTGCAGAACCATTAAACTGCAGAGATGAACCCATCAAGACATGACACAGAGAAGCATCTGTCTTCAGTTTTACATATTGTGTTTTTCTAATTTGAAGCTGCAGTTATAGTTATAGTATATATAGTATATATAGTTTAGTTTCCCTTCATCATCATCATCATCGGTTGAAATATTCCAGCACCCTCTGCTGGTAAACACATGGTGGAGTACAGGAAGATGTCTGCAGATGTGTGTGTGTAATGAGAGACAGGGTTCAAAGTAAAGATAATGATGAACAGTAATGAGCAGCATTACGTAACGAGAAAGAGGTTTCAGAGCGGAGCGGCCTGTTGGATAAACAGCAGCGAGGAAGATTTCAGTGTTGGTTTGCCCAAAGAAATTATCCAGAGCCTGAGGACCTGGCAGACGGACGAAGCTTCGCCACACGAAGAAGAATGTGGGCTTTGCTCCAGGTCTGAGCTGTGTTGAGCTTCGTGCTGCTGGACGTCTGCACGGATTCCACATGTACAATCACAGACAATGTCAAAAATGAGGCAATAGTGAAAACATAATCTGTGATAATCACCATCTGAGGCAGAGAGGTGCAGAGAGGTGCAGAGAGGTGCAGAGAGGTGCAGAGCAGCGTGGACGGGCATCACACCTGTGCATGATCCAAACAGGCTGAAGTCTGGAAACCCTGCAAAAACAAAAACACAGAAAATATGTAGAATGGTTTGATTTCTGTTCCTGAGCATTGAACTGGTGAGAGCTGGTGAGAGGAGCTGGCAGCAGGACATCACATGAATCTCATCTTATCAGGACGAACCAGGAGAAACATTTCAAATAAAGATCAAATATAAATGAATCTCTGCAGATTCTCACTGAGATAAAAACTGATGGTGTAGATGTATTTTATCTCTTCTATTCATTCACTGAGATCTTATTGTGTCTGCACACAGACATGTGCTCGCAGCTAGCGCTTCAACGCAGCCAGCTAGGCTAGCTGTTTCCCTGTGCTGTCGGTCTTTATGCTAAGCTAAGCTAACTTCTAAGTTTCCCACATGTGAAGAGGGACACATGTTCCACCTGTGTTGTAGTTTTGTCACGTGGCAGGTGAACAGGCTCAGATGGAGGAGGAGAAGAAGAAGAAGTAATCTCACCTGGCTGTTGTTTCCCTGGAGCTAGCACGTAAATCAGACTTGAGGTAGGCTAGCAGGTTCCCTCCGCTTCCAGTCTTTATGCTAAGCTAAGCTAACTCCCTGACACAAGGTAAATAAAAAAACTATTTCCGTCACCAGGTTCATCAGGAATGTTAATGACGTAAATCAAGAAATACAATTAAATAAATACACGTATTTATTGTTTTCCTGCTAAACCTGTCCTCACTTCTTATGGTGTCTAATAATAATTATAATTATTACAATTATTGTTTATGCTCATTGAGATGAACGTCATCTTTCACAAGTTTCTACTGAGACATATTAAAATGAGTCAATCAAGAGAAAAGTAATTCATGTGTTTCTGGTGTTTCACAGTTTTATCTCACAATCTTCAGTTTGTCTAAAATGAAATGTTCCTCAACACGGGATTCAAACCCACGGCTCACGGTGAGCAGCACGGCATCGCCACATGAGATTCGAACAGTGAGGGAACTTTGATTCGGTGACTTCAGAGTGAGGCGTCTGTGAAGAATTTAAAAAACACATAATGAAAGAAATGACTTTGTGTTCAGGGGGAAACAGGTGTGTGAGTCCGAGAGGATAAATGACTGTTCCAGATAATATCCAGCACCCAGGACTAACCCCCCCCCCCAGGCTCTGCATTAATTATTCACATGTGTCAGTGATGTGTGAACCCTCCTGCTCGAGCTACAGCACAAACGTGACTCTGCAGAAAGCAAATGAAAACTTTCCCTGGATTCTGTGTGAAACTGCGAGAGCAGATATAAAATCCCAGCGGCCAAGGTCATTCTGTGCTATCTCCCATTCCTGTTGCTCACAGGCTTCACTCAGAGTCAGAGCCACACAAACACACGAGGAAGTCACAGCAGGGAACGTTTTCTGAATCCCCAGGAAGCTGCAGTCATGGCGTCCTGTGCTCTGGTCCTGGTTCCTCTGTGGATCCTCGGTCTGAGTGGAGGCTGCAGGGCGGAGGAGCTGTGCAGGGAGGCTGTGTTGTCCTGGTTCAGCGGGCGGGTTCTGGAGGGCCTCGGGCTGGACGAGCCTCCCGTGGCCTCGGCGCAGGGCCCCGACGTGGGCACGGCCCAGCGAGAGGGAGCAAGGCACGTGCACGTGAGGGCCCCGAGGGCGAGCAGGACAACACGGGTGGACCATCGGACAAGTCCAACCGAGGACAAGTCTCAGATTATTCTCTTCCCCAGTCCTGGTGAGAAGCTTTTACCTATGTCTCCTTTAGATCCTGAAACTCAAGAAGTGCTAACGGATGAATTTGTCTTGTTTTCTGCATGAGGTCGAAGTTTTTAGTATTTTTATTACACAGACTGAAAGTGCAGCAAAGCTCCATAAAGAACTGGGCTCTTAGAGAACTGGACGTTATCTAAGAAAGGATTCTCATCACAGTTTCTGCAGCTCAGAGCTGAAGACAAGAAAGTGTTTGACACGGAAACAATGGAGAAGACGTTAAAGACCCGTGTGTAGATGAAGCAGCTTTAAAGAGCAGCTCCTGGAAACATGGTCGAGAGTTTAAAGAGACAAAACATTTAACTGATCCCAGTTCAGAGTGAATCTGTTCTGTATGATACTGTTGATTCAGGAGAGGGAGGAGGCTCCAACAGAAAATGAAGAACTTCACTTTTCTCTCTGATTTCACTTCTCAGACTCGTCTTGTGTCCCAGAAACCACCAGAAGTCCCTTCACGTATTATTTCCGGCCGTCCCTGAACGACCAGGAGGCCGTGGTCACCGCTGCCCACTTCTGGTTCTACGCGGGCGAGGGAGCCAACACGTCCGCCCCGCTCTTCATCCTCAACTCGGCGCAGCAGCTTCTCCAGGCAGCGGAGGCCCCGTCAGAGATGAGCCCAGACGGATGGACCACCTACGACCTGCGGGCGGCGCTGGCCTCCGTGGCTCAGGGTCCCTTCGTGCTCCAGGTCCGCTGTCCGGCCTGCCAGTGCCACGCGGACCAACCAGACAAGACGCCCTTTCTTGACCTCCACGCTCAGCCACGTGCTCAAGGCCGCTCTCGCCGCCACGCACCACTCAACATTCGCTGGTCTCCCTCTGCCATCGACCTGCTGCAGCGCCCCTCTCAGGAGAGACCGGAGCACAGCGACTGCCACCGAGCGCACGTCGAAATCAGCTTCGAGGAGCTGGGCTGGGAAAACTGGATCGTCCATCCGGCGGCCCTGACCTTCTACTACTGCCACGGAAACTGCTCGGCAGGGGATCGAACCGCCGCCGTGCTGGGGATCAGTCAGTGCTGCGCTCCGGTGCCGGGGAGCATGAGGTCCCTGAGGATCACCACAACGTCCGACGGTGGATACTCGTTCAAGTACGAGACCCTGCCCAACATTATACCTGAGGCGTGTACTTGTATCTGAAGAGCAAAGGTTAAAGGTCGAGTTCACCCAAACGACTTTTCATCTCATCTGTTTGTTTCATGTGTTTTATACATTTTTAACAATGAATACACAAAATAACCACCACACTCAACACAACTCACGTTACCTCGTCTTCTTCATTCTCCATTTCCTGTGTGCATTGCATTGTGGGAGGTGTCCATCAACAGCACATCTGCGAATGTGTTTGTTTGAATCAGACGTCGTTCTGTAATTTGAGTTACTTGTTTACTGAACTTTGTTTTCGTCATGTTTGTTTTACTCCCACGTCAAAGTCAAATTAAAGGCAGCGGTGTTGTTTCCTCCCACCTGTGGGCGGCGCTGTTTGCCCACGTTTAAACTGCACCGTCAGGTTCAGACTCGTGTTCTTTGATCTGCAGCTCCACAATAAACCACCGGTCAGAACACGGAGGTGAACGTGATCTGTAAACACACAGTGACAGCTCTGCGAGAATAACGACAAAACAAACACGGAGAAACCCACAAATACACACGAGTCCACAGACGAAAGTATCTTGTTCAAATATATTTATTTACTCTGAAGACAAAATAATCTCTACAGTTACAAAAACTACAAAACTTGCAATAGAAAAGGAACAAGTATAAACCGCTGACGTACAATATTCAACAGGAAATGTCGGACCTTGAGAAGAGCAGCAGAGCTGGAAGTGAGATGAAAACAAGAAACAGCATCAAACAGCTGCTTTGGCAAAGTGTACTTTTGAGTTTTCCAGCCGCAGATCATAAAACCAACAAACAATAAACTCTGCACGAACAACGAAAGCTACAGATGAAGAAAGTCGGAGCTGGTGTGTGTGTGTTTACATGGCACCGCGCTGTGTCGGCAGCCGGCTGTCATCCTCTCCAGGAGGCACGAAGGCCTCCATGTTGCAGCGGAGAGGAGGAGCAGCGGCGCACGTCAAGGGTGGAAAATATGTCTCACCAAAGAAGAATGTAAATTTCAAAAGACAAGGATGGAGTTTTCACTGTGGACAGTAGCCTTGGAGACAGATGTTTCCAGCTGCGTAGCAAAGAATAATGAAATTAAAGTTTAACTGTGATACGGAGAACAATGTAAATCGGTTTATATTTGGAGAGTTAAAGGATCACCAACAACAAGTGCCCACTTCTCAGCAGTCGTGTCAAACACTTCCTTCTAAACTACGGATCTACAGATTTGGTCTTTGTAGAAATAAAAAAAGGAATTATTGAGTATTTGAAATGAAATGATTGTACAAAATAAAGAATTCAAGCATTTCCCAGGTAAACATTTTGGCAGATTGGAGTAAACATGGAGGCTTCAAATAATCTGACTTTTCTGAAATGGTGTGGTTTCACTAATCCAACATCTGATCTGGTTAACGCTGCTCTACACGCTCCACGAACGGCTGAACCCGAGGCGGCTTGTTTTGAGATTCTGTCCGAGGACGACGAGCCTCACGAGAGTCTGAAGTTTATAAAACAAAACAAAAGGAGGAGTTTTGAATCCAGGTCTGAAAGGGACGAGGGTTAATTGCGAGTGCGTGCGGGGTGGAGACGGGGTTTGGACGTAGGCTGGCGAGCGGAGATCGGAGATGTGGCAGGCGTTCAAGTTTAGAGTCGTGGAGATGAACCATTTGTCACAACACAGCTGGGTCAGCGTTTCTCTCTCTCTCTCTCTCTTTTTTTTTTTTGACTGACCCCTAATACTGAAAGGCTCAATTCTCTCATCCACGCATTCACACAGACACACACACACACACACACACACACCAACAAACAAACACACACTTTGGTCTCCCTCAGTGGTCTGACTGCATTCCCATATGTGCTTCCCCCATGTGTTTAAGGCCAGTAGGAATGGAAGAACAGACGGAGGCAGGAAGCACGCTCAGGCA